GGAGAGCGATGGATAAAGGCATGTGAATATTACTGACATCTTTGGGCACCAGAGCCAACTCCTGGTAGTGTACCAAACTGGAGGACTAAACAGAAGCTTTCAAAGCTGATGTCTCTTGCAGCTTTCAGGAGTTACTTAACAGGAGTTTTCAGGTCTGTTAACAGATCTCTCATTCATTGCACCAGTTCAGCTTCTCCATCCTCATTAATCCAGGAACCATACCTGCCTAGACCTTTAACGACAAAAAAAATCTGTCCAATTTTCTTTTCTAAAGTATCCCACCTTTACAGCAGAATGAGCAGAGCAAAAGCCTCACCATATCTATTTTAGGTTTATGCTAAGACAGCATTTTATAGTATTTTCAAGCTAAGAGGCCTCTTGTGTCTTATGCTTCTTCTCAGTGGGACAGATAGCTGGTGATGGCGTAGGCAATATATGTCCTGAGACATACACTCTCCTTTGGACTGATTAGGACCATTGGTGACTTGCACACAACTAGCAAGTGGCCAGAAGTCAATCTTTCCTTTTCAAATAATTTTGGAAAGGAGAAAGGGAGCAGCAGCAGCAGTCTAGAGCGAATTTGATTCAGCTCATAGATTTTATTTGCTGTTATGGATGGCAGCTTTGTACAGTATTTTATGGCACAGCATACTGTCTCATGAGGTTGCTGTAATTTCAGCAGAAATTCTTCTGTCTGTGTGATGTGGTTTTTACTTTGTCTATAAATATAATAGCAAGAACTTCAGCTACATCATGGCCAGATTTGAAAGGACTCATCTTTTTTCAATTAGTTTATTCCTTTTATTGTCACGATTATTCATTTTCTCTTACGTGGAAAAAAGCTACGTTATTTTAGGGAGTGTCCTTTACTTCTTAAATTCTTGCTGTAGTTCATTTTCTTTTGTTTTTGCTCTGATTTCTTCCAAAGCTGTTGCATTTTTGCTTTTCCTATCTTTCTGCCCTAAGTAGTAAGTACCAAATGCTGGATTAAAAACCTCTACCGATAGTTGCATCTGTGATGTTACCATTATATGACAGTGTTATTGATAAGTCTCATTACTTCTTAAGCTCCAAAAATATGATCTGTGGATATGAAAGATTGTGTTAGTTTTAGCTTTTTAAGAAACCAGTCTTATTGTATGAATGTGAATCAGTTATTAATTACATGAAAAAGTTTTGACCTAAAGAGGGAAAACAGAATTGCAGAAACAAATTGGAGCCTCAAGATGGAATCAAGTGTTTAGATCTGAATTGTTGGATTCTTTGCAAGAAGAAACTTTTTTGTAAAGAGTACAATGGAATAAAATGCCAGTGATGATGACAGTTTCTAATGCACTTATGTATTTGGTTTCCTGGAAAAATCATGACAAAGGCACCAGCAGTCTTAATTTCAACAGTATTTTGTATTCTGCCGTATTCTGCATCTTACAAGAAGCCTTCAAGTCAAGTTGTAGCATGGAAACTGATGATAATGTCTGTCATGTTGTGGATCGGTCTAGCTATCTTGCTTATACTGTTCTCCTTTGGCAAGATCATCAAACTGACAGATTAAAAAAGAGGTCAGCAGGATTAATTAATAAGAACATCTGACCCCTAAATCATAGAGCATTATGTGTCATCCACTTAATCTTTAAGAATGGTACTAAGGAAGTACAAATGTGTCTGAAAAACATAATCTGGATTATAAGAAATGAAAAGGTGGAATATTGAACACACCTTTGGTTTTGTTTTGATTGTTAGCTCCCTTACAATTAAAATGTTATCTTGAATATGACTTTTGTCTTAACTTTGTAGCTGTTGATTTTGTTATAGTATTAATTTTGTTGTGCTCTTCTATGTTATATTATTATGTATTATATTATTATTAACATATAACAATATCTGTTCAAATATCACAAATCTGTTTATTATACTATTAATTTTGTTGTGCTCTTCTATGCTAAACTTTTAAAACAGATAGTATTTTTTGATTATTTGGACACTGGAGTCTTCATGTACACAGCTCAATCTTTTTAATATTCAAAGCAGTTTAGGTTCTTTGAATCATACTGTGAGAAATTTTCTCCTCCTTTTAAATAACTTCTGTGGCTCTTTTCTGTACCCTGTCCAATTTTTCAACATACTTTTAAAAATGTGGATACCGGAACAGGATGCAGCATTCCAGTGTGCCTTGCAAAGGTAAGATGACCACCTTACACCTGTCATGTCCATATGTCCAAAGGAATGTATAAGAGCTTTTTCCTCCCCTTTTTTTTTTTTGTCATGGCATCACATGTTGAGATGCTCACCTACTATAATTACTAAATTCTTCTGAGTTATTTCTTCTAGGATTTTGTTTCCATTCTGTAGGTGGTTCCTGTAGTTGGCAAGTGTATTCTGACAATTGTTTCCATTCTGTAGGTGGTTCCTGTAGGTGGCAAATGTATTCTGACAGTAAAATACAGAACTTGACCTTGGGTTGAACTACATTTATTTATTTATTTATTTATTCTGAAATTATTCAAGAGCATAACTGCCCTCTCCTCAGTATTTAGTTTCAGCATTCTTGGTTACATACATATGCTTACTCTAGAGACTTGATGTAAATATTGAATACCGTTGAGTCTGGTGTCCGTTGTCATATATAGTGAGACTTCCCCTCTAGTGAAAAAAGGTTTGTGCAGCTGAGAACCGCTTACTCTAGAGACTTGATGTAAATATTGAGTACCGTTGAGTCTGGTATCCATTGTCATATATAGTGAGACTTGCCCTCTAGTGAAAAAAGGTTTGTGCAGATGAGAACCACAGCTCTTGTTGGCAACCCTGGGAGCACAGTTAAAGCTGATGAACTTGGAGTTGGAGAGGGTTGGCAACCCTGGGAGCACAGTTAAAGCTGCTGAACTCGGAGTTGGATAGGAGGGTACTTGGAGAAATTGTGAAATGCTGTTTATTTTCCAATATCTCTATTTCTTAAATTTATCTCTGCAAGACAAGAAATTATATAGTTAAAATTGCAATAACTATTTAATAAAATTCTAGTGTTGTTTGATGCCATAAGTACCAGATAACATCTATCTCCATAAGCTCAAACAGAGATACAAAGCATCTCTCTAATTATACACTGGCAGTTGAAAAGATGGTAGGAGTTTTGAGACTCACAGTTTGCTTTTGTTTCCTTGCTATTTGTTAAGACAGTTCAGGTCTTGCTTGGCTCGTGAAATCTGAACGCGTGGGTTGAAATAGTGATGAGCAATGGAAGCCTCTCAGATTTCTTGGGAAAGTCCCCCTTTTAGATGAGGATTGGGCACAGTGATACATCATACAGTTTATCTCCGCGTCCACTTAATTTTGATAACCAGCTGTCGCTGAGTCAATATCCTCAAAATTGTTTTCCCTGTGAATAACACAGTGCCAGAAGCTTTCAGTTTTTACAATTAGTTTCTAAAGCATTCTCAAATCATGGCTAGAAAAACTGATGTTTTGAAGGTGGCTGGACGCCAATGGTCTTTTCAAAGTCTTTGTGCTACCTAACTGGAAGATAGTGATGAGATTCATAGCCAGGGAATAAGTTTAGATTCATATCTTTAGTTTTTTATGCCTAAATTCTTACAGCGCTTTACAAGATGCACTTTGGGGAGCGGGGTGGGAAAATTGTAATAAGTGAAGCAGCAGGAGCAAGAAAGTGAGCCTGGCTTGCATGTGGAAGAAGAGAGTCAAGTAGAACAAATTTGTCCTTGAATTCTAATTAGAGAGTGGTGATGGGATTTTTTTGGTGGTGGGAGTTGGCATGTTCAGTGTGGTTTTTTTGTGTTTTGGTTTTTTTCTTTAACTCAAAACTGTAAGTTCCACAGGAAACTTGTATACAGGTTTTTCTTCTGTCTGGTTTGGCTATGATAGTATTCACCTCTTGCTGATTTCATGTTCCTGCAGGATATTTGTGGGGAACTGCCATTCCCTGATCCCTCCACACCCCTCTTTGCTCCCTGACTTCACCTCTTTATTAGTTGTCGTGACAGTATGTTATTTCCTACATCTTTGTAGCATACGTATAGTGCAGTGTACATACCTATCAAATGTTCTAAAAAATTGTAAAAGATGCCCCAAGTAACATACTGAACAGCTAGTCCCTAGTGAATCTAGCACTTTATTTCTTCTATTATTTTAAGGTCCCAACTCTTGAATTTTTTTTCCCTTGAGCCTGATGACATAGTCTTGTATTGATGTAATTATTCTTGTGTTAATAGCTGCCATTCAGAATTCTTACTTATGTTCCAATGATTCATTAATGACCCTGCTTTTTTTAAGGCATGGCAACATAATCATCTGAACACTAAGTGACATGCAGCATATGTATAACTGAATTGCATGTTGCCTCTCATTTTTCTGTGCTTGGAGCAAAGCAAGAATTTTCCCTGAATGTAGGTGACCCTGAGGTGTTGCTGTGCATATGTTGTAAAATGTCTGCTTGAAACATCAATTTTATGCAATAAATATGTAAAAAATTGTGTATTCTCACAATGCAGGCAGCTGTTACAGAAACAGTGTAGGACATGCGGTTTTCTACAATAAAGACCTCAAAAGAATTTGTAATAAAATTCATGACTGCTATCTGGGCAGTGCGTGGAGCACTGTTGTGATATGAAAAAGAACAAGAGGTTCCTGGAGTGCTAACACTTGATATTCACGTTACTTCAGCATTAGCTGAGGTAGAACAGCTTTACTCATTGTTTATACTGACAGTACTTTTCTAGTAAACCCAGTAGAAATGGAGGTAACACATCCAGAATCTGCAGTGGTGCTTTATGTGTACATGCTGTTTGACTTTAGTTCACAGACTAACGCACACAAATGCTGTGTTTCCTGTGTAAGAATATTTGCCTTCTGTTGTATAAGTGATAAACTGCATAGAAAGTGGAAAGTATTGCTATAGTTCTTGTTCTAACCTACTTCTGTTTCATCTCTTCTAATAAAAGCAAGCAAAGAATCATTGTTTAGTAATGCTAATGAATTTATTTTTTTAGGATCTGGTCAACACTGGACTCAGCACTTTCTTCTTTTTCATTGCCTCTGTAGTACTTGCTGCTTTAAACCATAAAACTGGAGCAGAAATTGCTGCTGTGGTAAGAATTTGAACTTCTTTATATATTACTCTTATCTTCTATTAAAACTGAGAATAGCTTTTTCCTCATGTTCATTGAATACTCTTGCCTTTGCCATCTCAACTTCTAATTTTACAGTTGGTTATATGCTAATTCTGATATAAAAAGTATTGACACCCTTTGAGTTGTTTGTCTTAAGGTTTGAGGCAAGAACAAACAGAAAAATGACTTGCAGCCTTCTTCCTCTGTAGATGGCTTAGGTGATCCTGCTTTATATTGTAAGCCTACAGAACAGATAGAGCCAAAAATTCACAAGAAATTGGACCTGCTTACACATACTTTGCTGATTTCTTCTTGCTCGCTACAGATCATTTTTGCTCTGTGGAGTGAGGAGTACTTCAAGATTGTAAATCTAGAACAGTAAGGTAAAGCAAATGAATTCTGAGCTTGAGTTGGCAACCTTCTCCCCCCCTCCCCAAACCTGGACATTGAAAATCACACAACAGGTCTGCAGAAGCAAATAGGAAGAACTTCAAATTAGTTCCTTATCTAGGCTGATGGTCTGGACTAGTTATCTGTTCTCTTGTTCATTCATCATGATGTGCACCCTGAGAAACGAGCTGTTGGATGAAGAGCTGTATTCTTCTTTACAAAAGGTTCTTCCATTGAAGTTGTGTTGCAGGATTTAATTGTCAACTTGGTAGACAAAGAACTTTGTTTTCTGGGATCATTGATCACAGTTGCTTTTGCAGATTCTCTAGTTCATTGAAGAAGAAAAACATCAATTTTACAGGCCATGATGATTTGTCAGTGCAAATAAAGTAGAAAACTAAGTTTCTCAGGAATTTATTGTGAAACTACTATTGTTCACAAAAATTCTTTGACAATTCTTTCTACTTCTTGTAGATATTTGGTTTCTTGGCAATGGCAGTGTATGCTGTGAACACGTATTTAGCTATTAAAAAGTGGCGAATGAACAGCAGACAGCAAAGTAGTCGGCAGACCAGTGATTACATACGTGCTCGGACAGAATCCAGAGAAGTAGATCATCGCCCTGAGATTCAGCGTCTGGATGCATGAAAGCAATGTTCACATGGGACTGCAAAGGGAAGAAAAAGTGCTTAACTCCCTCATGAAATAAAGAGTTTTTTTCTTTATTTATGGAAGAAAAGGAAGATCAGATGGTGGCAAAGAATACCCAGCCCTGTGTATGTGCAGAGATGCATTGAGTCAGAAGCTGTTGTCACGAAGGCAGTAGATGTTGGTCATTCAAAACTAAGATCAGTTTAAGACGTCCACATATATATGTTTTGCAATATGTTATTGTTTTGGCTTAACTGCACGGTACTTTCCTTCCCTCTCTTAAGTGCAAGCTCTGAATACACGTGTTCTGCCACTGTATCTTTGTCTATCGTAAACACTAAGACCAGCACTACATTGTTTGGTGGATTTCTTTCTTATATTAAGCAAGAGTAAATTTAATGTACCCAAAAAGGAAGTGAAGGGCAAATAGCAATAACTGTAGCCATGTATCCTCTCAAACTGTCTGTATCCATCCTCATGCAGCCTTGGCAGTGCAGCTCAATTCTCATCTGCAAGATCTCGTGCAGTTTCACGGTTCATGCACTTGTATAGCTGAAATGGTTGTCGATTTCACATTTTTTAGTTGATGGATATAGTGTTCAGGAAGTTACCTGATGGGTTACTCTGAAATTGCCATATTCAGTTCATGTGTGGTTTTGGCCAGATCTGAACTTGAGCAAAATTAGCGTTTACTGAATGGTCACCATAACGCATCAAGTGTAAGCATGTGGTTTTCTGCTCATGTTGGGGGATGCTTTCTATTTCCATTCCAAAAGGGAAAATAAATATGGTTGGGAGGCAGGGTGGAGAAAAGGGTGTTGAGGGGCGCAGTAGAGAAGTGACGGGTTGTTATCCAATAGATTTGCATTCCAGTCATGGCTTTTTCCTGTTTTCTGTGGTGATTTTGTTTGGTTGGTTGGGTTTTGGGTTTTGTTTGTTTGTTTTTTAAGGTTCAACCTTTCTGAAAAGCCTGGGGTAAGCAAGAACCAGCAAAAAATTATGATGTGCTTATAAAGTGTTTTTGAGGTTGCAGTATTGTGATTGATAGGAGGTAAATATTCTCCTTTTTGGAGGGTTGTTTGTTTCTTCTAAAAATAAAACGGTTGGTAGTAGGCAAAACTGTTTTGGTTTTTTTTTTTTTAATTGGGTGTTTCTGCAAATTTTTTTTCCCTAATATTTCTCTGGAAAATGAGTTTAGATAATTAGGGGGTAATATGGTTTTATTGGTTTATTTAGAAATAGTTTTACGTAACTGAAAGTTTCTTATTTTAATTGTATTTCCAGTGAAGAGAAGGATATTTCCTCTACTCAAAGTTGAATTTTGCAGTAATCAGTTAGACAATGTCATAATGTTATTTGGAAGATGTCTCTTGATCTTTTCCTGGTTTTTTGATTGGTGTTTTTATCTGATACATTATTTGGCATAAGTGTGCCTGCATGTTACATGCAAAAAATGTGCAGGAGAAAAGATCTCTAGAGCTGAATTCCTTTCTGGTGTAAATTGATGAAATCTTTGAAACTAGTGGAACTGTATGCCACGTATGTCTGAATTTACTGCATTTGACTGGAACACTTTTTGCATTGTGTTCTTACATAGCTGTACATTTAAGTGGATGAATGCAGTAAACTGGAGTCTTCAGAACAAATGGCAATACTTTGCAGTAGGTCACTTTTAAATGTAAAAATAGGCGATACCAAACAGAAGATCAGTCGAAGTGCCTGGGCTTTTCTAATATTGGAGGGAACTGGCATAGGGACTGACAGTTCCACGTTCAGTGTGGTATGAAATAATGAAGTTTATTATTGTTTTCAGCATTCTGCCTAGTATTGGCAAAATTTGCAAGGAGATATTAGTACATATTGTTGTTAAAAAGAGCCTTTCTAAAAGTAGCAAAAGCAGATCTAGAGTGGAATTGTAAACTGACATTAAAGTAGTTTGTATAAAGATTGTCAAAAACAAACAAAAACCCTCAACAAACCAAAACAACCAAAAACCCACCAAAAAACCAAAACCCTCTACTCAAATACAGGATATTGTCCTCCAGAAGATCCATGCTTTTTTTAGAGTGGAATCCTCATCTGAAATCAAGAAACAGCAGTTAGGTGATGCATAGCAAAGGCTTTTCATGAGGCGTGTATCCTGTTTGCTGGTTAATGACAAGGTCTGAAATAGTGTGTACGTATGCCCTGGTCCTTTTCTGTACTCCCTGTGCTGATTCTGGTTTTTCAGAGGTGTGGGAGGTCTTGTGTATCTGTAAGTTTATGAATTTGGTATCCTTCAAATCCTTACACCTTTCCTTACCTAGAAAAAGGATAACTCAGTGGAGCTTTTTCTGGAGTGAGATGATGAAAAGCTTTTGTTATCCTTTAGCTGGGGTGACAAATGCAGAGTTACACAGTTATACTTCTAATACAGTATAATATTTCGTTATGTAGTATAGTATCCCTGGATGATCTTGAGTGCTTTCACATATGAAATAAGTTTTCTTGAGCTGAGAACAGTATGCTATTATTTATTACTTACATCATGACTAGAGCTTAGCACAGGTTTCAGGGTAAAATTCAAAGAGAATGTTAATTTTAAAAATACTATCTGATCCACTTTGTAAAACAGAAAAACAAATGTAAATTTGTAATTTCCTTATTTTGGGGACCAAAGATGATTTTAGTATTGTACAGTGTATACTTTCTAAAAATGTAAGTTAAGCATTTATTACTCTACAGAGACATGATTTACTATATGGATTATATAGAAGGGAAACAAAGTAGCTGTGAGAGACAACTAAATTTGAAACCTGAACGTCATATGATATGTACACAGTTGAACACCTCCCCTCAGCCCACCCCCCTGACTTAATTTTATACTGTGTATTAAGGAGGTGGTAGTATTTTAAGACTGTTATCCAAACTGCAGTCATAAAAAAGCTTTGAAGGAAGAAAATAGGGTAGGAAGTTTAACTTTTTTAAACTCGCTTAGAAAAGTGACATTGAATTGCTTCTCCCAGCCAGTTAGTCTTGATTGTAGTTGCTTGGCATATAGGGATAATTTCTTTTAGTCCTTAAGAGTGCTGTTTAGCTCCATAAAGGGACTCAAACTCCGCTGTAAATAAAACTAAATTAAAGCTAAACATTTAAATGTTGTAGGAACGTGATGCTGGAAACCATAATGGTTCCGATTAGTCCTCTTTCGTCAAACTAGGCCCTCAGATACGCAATCTCCATTTATTTCTGCAGGTAGAAATGACGGTAAAATTTGCAACCTATGCACAGACATCAAAGGATGTTCCTTTCATTTCGTATATTCATGCCTATCTATCCTATGGTTTAATATTTAATTTTTGTTAAGCCTTCTTCATTGATCTGTGTAGTGTCTGCCTCAATATAAGGAAGATAAGAATACTGTGTCCGATGTCCTTTGGCTTAGGTATGGCACTCTTCCCTTTTATGATAGTTTACGATGTTTGGGCCGGATATGCTGGGGGGACATTTTATTCTTTCTCCTAGGAGTTAGGAACCTAGCTGGTATACTGGATGTGTTTCTGTGTAGGCTTCCTGGTAGGACCCACATGTGTAGAAGTTGAGAGGATCAGAGATTCATCTACTTCTGCCTTTTTTGCGAGAAGAAGGTACTGACTCTACACCCTAGAGATTTGATGCCTATATTTCAAGTCTGTGCTTTTCATCATGGGCTTTGCGTTCAGAAGCATGGCATTAGCAATGAGCTGTGCGTTGGAAGCAGTTTCTCATCTTTTGCTTCTAAGATGTCTCTTACATGTGAAGTTAAACAGAATCAGTAGCGTGGGGTGCTTTGTCACATGTGTTGCACTGTGCATCTTATGATACAACCTATGTAATTGCTTTATCTATTTCATTGCTGATTCTAAAAATAAGAGAGGAAAACTGAAGGTTTTCAATCTTCACTAAAATAATCTTATTTTACTTTTTTTTTATTCCCCGTGAATTATTTTATACCATATGATAATGGCCCCTTCCTAACACAGCAGACTTACTGGTTCTTAAAGTGCTGTGGAACACAACAGGAGAATTGATCTGCTACAAGCTGCATGTGGACTGTTATGATGAGTTAACCACTAGTTTTTAATGAACTTTAAGGTCCCTAAACAAATTTGGTACTTGTCACCTTTGTGCTATTTTGGATATGTGCAGGCACAGCAAATGCATACCTAATATGTGGTTTTATTAATGCAACCCTTCCCCCTCTTCCTTAGTCTTTGTTCTATGTCTGTTATTTTCTTGTCTCATGACAACTTTGTAAACATTCCTACTTGTTCTCTTTTGTGGAAAAACAAAACAAAACACCAAAAGAAACCACCAAAACCAACCCAAAACCCCAAAATAACAACAAATAATGTTTTTAGGGCATAATTTTAAAAAATGCCAAACTTCATAGCAATTCAAATAATGTAGAAAATAATACCCTCCCCCCTACTCAAATGAAATACTGAACAGCTTTCTACATGGAAATTGGAGCATTAAACAAGAGGTCTTACGCTGGAAGCTCTGGAGGCAAAGGTCTTCAGCAGGTATTTAGGATAAACAAAAAAGTAGGCACAATCTGATCATGAATTTGAGATGTGATAGCAGGTGAGAATGAGAGAGAAACCCAAACTTGAAGTGTAATAATCCAGGACTTTCAAAATAATATGTGAACATTAATAATCCCGGACCACAGAAGGAAAGATTGCTTCTGCACCTGATAGTGAAGGAGAGAGAGACACCTTGAATCAGTAGTAAAAACAGGTGTAGAAGTCCTTCTCTGTTCCTAAGTCTGGGGCTGTGCTGGCTGTGTAATACGGCTGGAGAGATTCTACGCTGATGTTGTTAATGGTGCATCTTAAAACCTGAGGTATGCTGACAAATCGGTGTGATTATCCAATAACTTCTGCTGAGCTGAAGTATAGTAGTTGGTTCACAGCAACCTGCAGGACGTAGATGCTTGCATCAGAAGGACTCTTAAGAAATGACAGCTTCAGACTAATTTCTGCTCAGTCCCACTGAAATGGGTCAAGCTGTCATGTAGCATTTCTTAAAATTGGGTACTTGGTTCTTGTTCATAGCATAAAGTAAGGCATTGTTTGGAGGGCCAACAAAGCTCAAAAAG